CACGTGAAACTTTCAGACCGGCGCCTGGGAATATGGCCCTAAAGCTTGAGCCAAAAGAAGAATAGTATTAGTAGTCGTCCTGGTCGTCGTCGCCATCGTCGACGTCATCGTCGGCTAGTCGTAGCAGCAACAGGAGTAGTCGTAGTCGTAGTAGTCGTCGCAGTCGCAGGTGGTGGTAGTAGCAGGAGTAGTAGTAGTTGTTGTTGTTGTTGCTGCAGAGTATTTAGTAATCCTTTGACGAATACTAGTATATAGTCTTATATAGCAGTGACAAATGGCTAATCAAAACTATACTGGTAGTGATAGTAAAAATCCTGAGAATGGTGATAGTGGTAGTAATAGTGATCAGATAAGTGCAGTACCAGTAATAGGCCAGCCATGTGCCAGAAGCCAGGCTCCCCTCAGGATGTCACCAGACAATACGTGGAGCAGCAAGAGGCGGCCTTCCAGGCCGGGCCAACGCCATAAAAAACTCGACAGAACTGTACTTTTGGGCTCATATAGTATATTACTAGTCTATGTCACTAGTATTTTTCTAGAATTTTCTAGGACGTGAACCTTGTAATGGCTAGGGCTGAAGGACTCCGTCTTAGTAAACACGAGGTGTTGACGGTGCTCTACTCTTTTCCTTGTATTTTTGGTTGCGGTTGTGGCTTCCTTTCTTGGCAAGCCTACGAAACAAACGCAGGCACCTCGCAACATGTTTACTGGGCTACCTCGTTACTGCCAGTATCTCTAATAGGTGCAGACATCGGAGTCGAAACTATGGCTCCAGGATGCAGGATGATGCCAGTATCATGGTGGGTGTTTCAGCAATGCAAAAGGTCATCGAAAAATGGGAATGCAGCTAAACCATGATTGCCAAGAAGATGAGGCAAGCCAAATTATGCCATTGTGCTGGTAGTTTCCTATGCAGGTTTAGGCTCAGTGCAGAATTTGGGGTTGAGTTGGCAAGCTTAAAACCCCTGAAACAAGAAATGACTGGTTGCACGCCGCCGAGCCCTCGCAAAGAGCCCTTGCCTTCAGCTCAGGTCATGCGATCTCTTGTGGACAAAGGCGCCGTCCTGTCAGCCGGAACGGCTGTGCTGAAGCCTGGTCTCAGGTGAGTGCAAGGCACTGGGAAGGCAGCCATCTAGAGTTGTTTCTGCTAGAGAGGGAATCTAAAAGCTGGGTGGTTTTGGCCGGGTTGCAGGAGCTGACAGGCCCTTTTATCATGTTGAGCTTGTCCTCCAGCAGTGGGTGGAGCGAGGGGCCCCACATTGAGTCTGTATATTCTCTGGATGTCTGCCTTCCCGGGCCCTGGGCTGCGCAAGCGAGTGCTTTTGACAATGAAATGCATGAGAAAGGAGGGAGATGTGCGGGCAGGAGAATCAGCAGAGATGGCGAAGCATCGGAACTAATTGTTGGGGGCCGGTGATGCTCCGGTTCTCTTGAGATGAGGCAAGTCGTAAGTCACCAGAGCCCTTGCATGACAAGGATCCATGCCCGCAAAATTCGCAGGGGTCCTCTTGGCTGGAATTGCTACGTCTCAGAGCAGAGACGAAGACTGCAATCCGGCGCGCCTGTGAAGCCCATGTTCCTGGTTCTTTAGTGTCATATTGCTTGGTCAGTCAGCATATTATATTATATTATACTATATTATATTATATTATTCTATACTACATTATATTATATAACTCTATACTATATTATATTATATTATTCTATACTATATTATATTATACTGTATTATATTTAGCAAAAACTGCCTTCGGCAGAGCAGCACAGAGCCAAGCCGCCCTCGTGGCTTTCACCCCTGACATGGGAGCGCAAAGAGCGCTTGGCAAAGAGCCCGGTGTGCTGCTAGCGCCTCTGCGACCCTTGTTGTGTCCCTAATCTTCTACGGCTCTTGCTGTTGCGGTGTGCGTTTACTACTGCTAGTTGAACTTTCGTCCCACTATGATGAGGGAATCAGTCCTGTTTACCGTCCTTGTTACTAGGGTTTTGCTGGCTCAGTTCATACCAGTGCTGCTACAGCCACATCCGTACATGAGAACCGGTGCTGTCTCTCCCGTTCATGAGAATGGCTAGACGGATTATGACGTTTGCGAAGAGTCTTGTCATCACGCTTGTTGTTGGTGGTAGTGGTATTAGTTTTTGGCTACCAAAGGTCTCTTCCACTTGCCATGAAAGAGACGATGAAGAAGCATCCCCTTCTTGAGGAGGCGCTCCAGTTCGGTTTCAGTGATCCGGGTGTCTAGGGAACAGGAGTTTCCGCAGAGTCCGCCTGCTGTTTCGGACTTCAGTTCGGGAGCCACGGAGATGATGCCCATCAGAGAGTAGGCACAGCCTGTTCGGGCCTGTACCTGTAGTGAAACATCCCGGGTGGTGCACCCCGAAGCTGCAACAAGTTGACGTCCAGACACGTCGTCATTTGTGCTTATGCCTGGAAGGCCTGAGGCCCAAGCAGAAATGTGCCACGAATGGAAGATAGAGACAGCCTCCATGTTCTAATGCCAGGACGACGCTGGTTACGACTATCCCTCCCCGAAGGGTAAACTCGTGTTCACACGATGCAGTCGGCCCAGTGTTATGAGGTTTGGAGTTCTGCTTCGCGGGGGGAAGTTCATTGTCGTCTAGGTTCATTGCTGCCCTTAAAGCAGAGATCTGAAACCTCACCCTACAACGGTTTCAGAAGGGCATATCCAATCAGCGAATCGTGGCTCAAGATGTCAAGGCCCAAGGCCCACCACCAACCGGCATGTGAACGAACTAACACTGTCAAGATCTGCGGCAGTGACTGCTACCAGTATCAGCACGGTGGTCATGGTTTTGTGTCGGTAACTTAGTCGTCATTATCTTATTGAAGCAGGGTCCCTGACACAATCAAAAGCTGCCCTGTCAAGGAGTATGGAAGATCAGCCCTTCATTGAATCCCTCTTCGTGGGCCAACAGCTCTTTCCCAAATGCCTATGTAAACCTGCTTGAGCCCTGAGATCAAATTCGCGAAGCAAGACGAGAAGATTTGAGGTTTGTCCGACGACGAGCCGCCCATGGAGCGGCCTGCGATCCTGTTTTTAGGGCGCAGGCTTAGGGCTCCGGGCTTTGGAAGTGGCCTTAGAGTCTTAGAGGCCAAGCACGGGTGAGAGCTCTTAGTTGTTGCTGGTCGTTGGACGTGGGGGCAGTGCAACTTGGAGGGGGAAGCAGGCCCTGCAATTCAAGGATCGTAGGTCCCTAAGTTTGCATTATCATTGGCCACTCCAGAACTCGAAGCTTGAGATGTCAGTCCAGACCCTGCACCCCAAACAATTCTCAGATCAGTTGCACTCGCCAGGGACTCGCCGTTACATGCAGCCTTGAGCCGAACGTCGACAAGTTTTAACAGGCAGGACATGGGGCAATAATCCAGTGCAGTTATCGACCAGTTTCTGGCAGCAGCCCAAGCAAATCCTGCGACGAGGACATGCCGAGATGAATGCACGTTCTCAGCACATGGCCTCCTGAGCACCACGCTTCCATGCAGGCAGGTGACCGCGCCTGCGGTGATGCAAGTGGCGAACTTCTTCCTCGACGCAGAAACACGGCTGGAGCAATTCTCATGAGAACAGAGCCCGGTATGTTGAAATCTGACGAAGACACATAATAGCAGATCATAGCAGCAAGAAGCTGAACAACACGTACCCAGAGTCATTAGTGCGAACGGCAATGTCAAAGTCCCGGGCAGCAGCAGCAGCAACAACAACAACAGCAGCAACAGCACCAGAAGCTAAGAGCAGCAACAGCAACAGCGGCAATAACCACAACAACATCAACAACAACATCAAC